TTGAGATCTTTGGGGGAGAGTCAAAATCCGCCCCCCCCCCCCCCAAGTTTCTAGGTGAGATATCTTGTTCCTTACCAGAAAGCTGTTGTCCTTGGGGTTTGTGGTCAGGCTCAAGCCAAGGCGCATGTTATCCTTGCGCTCCGACACGTTGGAAAGCGTGACTCTTCCTTGGGAAGAAATGTCAGAGTGAGGGACCCAGCCCACAGCCTCACCCTTGCAAGGGTCCGCTCTGCAAGCCACGAGGGCTCATCAGCAGCCCAATGCAAAGAAGGAACTGCTGTGTTTCCACTGAGATTGACCCCCGGGGTGCAATGCAAACACAGCTGAAGGGCTGCAAGGCTTCATCTGCCCGACAAATACAATCTCATCCAACACGAGCCCTGGGTGGCCAGAGGTGGCAAGGAGGAAACAACTGCCTGCTAGGGAATGAACCAAGCAGATCTACAGGGAAAGCTCAGGACCAGCCTGGCAGCTCCTTCCCTACTGTCAGCATGGGCAGGACATATTGCTGCTGACGTGTACTTGCACACGTATCCCATTCCTTGGAGCAGCCTGAAAGCCGGGGATGGCCCACAGTGCAACCTTTTAATTATGTTAATGCTAATAATTAACAATCTTTTACAATCTTTAACAAAGATGTTAATCCTTAATGCTAATGGGGAGGGGGGGAATAAATGAGCTTTAATCCCTTCATCCCCCCAGTCTGTGGTTAAGGAGGGAGCACAAAAACTAACTCAACGTGTGGCGGTTTGGCAATTTTCATTTCACACATGACAATGGTTTAACGTCTCCCAGTTACAGAATCAGCCCTTTGCTAGAACGTGCGTTCGAGCCAAGACAGCTCGACAAGGGATTCGGAGTAGATTCAGATCACCCCATCGGGTTTGTCACCGCTGCAAAACGTGGTGCCCCAAGGCAGGCATCAAGGAAGAAACTTGCAGGTAAGAGCCTTTCCATCTTGCACCTCCTAACAGCCTTCCTCAACGCCTGCAACATTTTAAAGAGAGAGGAGCACAAGCCGCTGTCCCCAAACCCAACCCGAGAGTCCAGAGCAGAACTGACCATCACTGAACAGATAGGAAGCCTGTAAAATAACCCGTATCCTTAAACACCTGAATTTTGTGAAAGCTTCTACTTGCTCTGAATTCAGATGTACCCTTCTGGGGCCAGGCACATCTCTAATTCGGACGTTATTTTCCATTTGAATTGGAATTGCATTTGTTCGCAACCAGTCGCTATGTAGAAACACAATAGTTTGGATCCTGGAGACTGCTCCCCCCCACCTCCTAATACAGGCAGTGCGGCGGGGAAGGGGGGCTAAAGCCTTTTTTTGTGCCTCCCTGAAGCAGGTACCACTGGGATGGTCATGAGATCCAGTTTAGAGCAGCCCTGGGGCTGCTCTACTGTGGTACTTGTTGACAGCACCCAACATCTTATTTCCAAGCTGGGGATCAGTCTGGATTATACTCAGACAGCAGCATGTGTTGGCTCTGAGCTAGCTGGCTTGGGCACAAAGAGCGGGTGAAGCTGGAGCACCATATATTAGCCTGCCCACACACCTGGGGGCTGACCCATGCTCTTGTGTCCTCACTCGTATTGCTCCCTGCCCAGCTGGATGACAGCTGGCATGGGTATGCCTTCAGGTGCTGACTGCAGAATAGTCCTAGCCCTAGGAGCTTCTAGTCCTCTCTTGCTCTAACTGCTCACAGCCCGTTCATTTATGAAGTTATGGTGCCATGCTGGCTCATGGGACACCCCGGGACAAGCGCATCCCTGCCGGAAACACTCAGGCACTTCAGACCCCTGGAGAACTAGGGAATGGGTTTGAGCACCCAGGGAAGGATCAGTCCTGGAAGAGGGGAAGGGGAGAGGTGAGGGAGGGGAGAGATTATCTGCCCCTGGAAATCAACCCCGGATCTCCCTCTGTGGCCACCTGCATGGAGGGGTCCTCTGGGCAGCTCAGCAGACCTCAGGTGTCCTCTCTTAACAGCAGCGCCTCTCACACGTCCCCCTTCCACCACCCAGCGAGGAAGGAAAGGTCAGCAGCTCTCACCTCTTTTCTCTGATCCTGATTTAAACTCATCCTGCAGGGCTAAAGCACTTGAAAGTGGACCCAAGCACCACCCTGATGACAAACGGCTCATAGATTTGTAGGGGTTAAGCCCCAAAGGGACCCGAGACCTTCTCTTTAGACTTCCTGTGTCCCCAAACAGCACCAGCTGCCTCTGTGAGAGGCCTGGAAACCTGGGTCTGTGAGAAGCGAGTCCCCCAGGATAGCATCCAGCCTCGATCGGAGGACACCCAGCAGCGGAGAACCGCCCCCCCATCCCTCTGGATAGCTGGTACCAGTGGTGCCTCGTCGCCTGACTGAATTCACCCAGCCTGCAGCTCCCCATCACCAGTTTCTGACTTCCTTGGCTGGACTGAAAAACCATTTTTGCCCTTGTGCCCAGGAAGCTATTTCCCCCATCGTCTCTGAAGCTTCGTTTTGGTGGATCAAGCACACAAGGTCTCTCGCTGTGCACCATTTTCTCCAGGCCTGGAGATATTCATCTCCGGGATGCACCTGCCACTCTGTGGGTCAGGCCTGTACTCCTTGTCCGGGATGACCAACTCCGCACGTGGCTGCGTTAGTGCACAGGTTGTTCCAACGGGCCTCGATTTACCAAATGGCACAGATCAGTGCTTCGTCGCTTCTACTGCATATTTATTAGCTGGCTAAAAGAGGCTCAGTCGACACGCCTGGACCTTCAAGATATCATCACAAACTGTTATTGTCCTCAGACAGAGGTCCAACCTGCTGGAATCTTTCAGGCATAATTTGTTTTTAAGGGAAAAGTGGGATTTGAGCCAAATTAAAAATGTTCACAGGCATGTTCCTATTACTTCGAAAACAACCGTGATTTTTCTTGGACAATAACACCCCTGCCACATGGCATATTTTTGGTCACCCTCCCCCCCCACTTTTTTTGTTTAATTTCTGATATGTTTCAACCCCAAAACCATTTTGGTTGCTGAAGATAGATTTGTGGGGTTTGGGAGTTTCTGAGAAGTTGAAGTTTTCTGCTCAGCTCTGGAAAGAAAGTCAGGACTGTTTGCATGCCTAAGCTCAGAACTGGGGTGGAAAATCCCGTAACTGCTCCATTATCAAAAATCACAGCCTTCACCTCAAAGCCTTTCAATGCTGCCGGGAAAGTCCCCAGTTTGCTGCGTGCTTAGTGTCTCGTAGCAGAGATGTTGCCGCACCGGGTAACCAGCAGTTGAAATATTTCCTCCGAGCTCCCAAGATCCCGGTGTGACATCAGGGTGGCTGAGGTCAGGCTGCGTGAGTCACTCCCATCTCTTGTCAGTCTTGGCAAGCAGGAGAGGAAAGGGATTTAGGAATGAGTCCTCTGAGTTGCTTGGGAAGCAGGGAGAAGAGCTGGCCAAGTTGTGTCTAACCCCACATGACCCTGGGTATCCAGGGACTGTATTTTGCATGCATCCATCAGGGCAAATGTTGCTCCATAAGATCATTAGAGCTGGGAAATGCTGGCTGAGGTCCATGCATTTTTTACTGTATCTAAGCAAAACTGTTGCTAGCTCAATGCTTAGCTAATGCTCTTCTGGTCTCAACTTCTGCTAATTGATAAGGTTTGGGAGACAAGGAAGCTTGAGGGGGGTTTGCACTGATCCCACTCCTCCTAGCTGTCGTGCTGGGCCACTTTCCCTTGCAGTGACATGGTGAGACCCATGGGCGTTTTGTTCGTGTTGCTAAGACCACTATTAAATCCTAGTGCGGTGGGAAAAGGCTGAGGATGCTTTCAGTCTTGGACCGTTCCAGCTGCCCACTCCCTGCAGCTGATTGCACAGCGTTTCCCCTTTCTCTCATACATCCTATCGTGGAGGTCCTACGCCTCCCTGGCGGGATATGGGGAACTCTCACCTCGGAGCTGTTTCGGGTACCCAAGGGGGCTGGAGGTTGCAAGACACAAAAACCAAATGCCTCCATTTCTGCTGAAGTTGAACTAGCCTGTATGGCCTTTCACCTTGGGGATGGGAAAGCAGATGCCATGAGGCCGAAGCTGCCTGGAGACAGGGACTAGCAGGGTCTTTAAATACTGCGGGCAAAACCCCCTGCCGCGGGAGAGCCTGCAGTGGAGCAGGCGCCTCTGGGAGATGCTGCACTAAGACATGCAAACACAGGACATCAGAATGGCTCAAGCCTGGGCTCCAGCCGGTCCATCTCCCCCAGGGCCAGCATGGGGGCAAGGTGACTGAATGGGCACCTCAGCCAGAGTCATGTCCTGAAGTAAGAGGGGCCAGATTCCCTTATGCCTGCTCCCCAAACTCAGCCTTTTAGGCCCTGATGTGAACAGCTGGAGGTACATTCCTAATGCCCTCAGCACTTTCCTGCAGCAGTGAGTTCCATTGGTTAACAGGGGTTTCCTTTAATCAGATTTATATTTGCTACATTGCAGTTCCACCAAAACCTGCTGTTTTGCCCCTGGAACAGGGATGCTCCCAAGACCCAAGGAGAGTGCCCAGGGCGCCAGGCCCTGCCTGTGCTTCTGCTCTGTCTCCGGGTCATGGAGAGAGGCCTTAGCAGCTTTGCCACATGCTCCCGAGGGTGCAGGAGGGCTGCGATGTGCTGTATCTCCCTGCTCCTGCAGCCCTAGTCCTGGCTGCCCTGCTCAAGGATCCCAAGTCTAGGACAGGGCACCGTAGGGTACAGGATGGGGGGCAGAAACTTAACTGGAGCTGTGAGGCTCTCTCGGCATATACAGGCTCCCCTCCAGGTGTGCAACCCCTCTGTTTTGAGCACAGATGCCCCTGCCTGCGTTACGGGTAATGGCTCGTGTTACTGAATCTCGAGGGTGATTTTTGCCCCACACGTCAGCTTCGGCAAGGAAAACACACCAGGTGGTTTCACTTATTTCCCCGGCACTTTCCCCTTCTGCAGTGTTTAGGTTGCCAACAGGGGAGGAAGACGGTTTCAACCCCCACCTGCAACAGCCCTGCAGCGGGGGCAAGCTTAGGCCATTCACCCCATCTCCCTTGCGGTTTGCATTTTGTGGAACAAAAAGCTAAATTTAAGGTTAAAAGTGAACTGGCCCCAGCTCTTTCAGCTGCCTTCGGTTTGGATTTAGGTCACAGCAGAGAATCAGCCCCGGAGTAACGTTATCTCGTGATCTTTGGGGCGTTTCTCACAGCTGTCCCCAGAAGTGGTGTCAGAGTAGGCAGGCGGTGCCATAGGGCGCTTGCACAAGCTATGCGCTGTCAAGAGTGTAAAATTGTTCTGAGATGTCCTCTAGTGCCTTTTACTAGTAATAGCACATTAACCCATTATGAGTGTTAAGTGCGCTACATGCAAAATAGTAACATCAGTCATCGTGGTACATTGGAAGAGTGAAATAAATCTAGAGAATATCTTCAGCTAGAAAAAGCCGATAACGTGAAGAAGTGCCTGTAGACTGCGCAGGGAGGTGGTGGACTCGCCCTCCCCGGAGGCTTTCAAGAGGAGGTTTGGACAGGTTTGATTTAGGAGCAGCATCCTGCATTGGTGCTAGGGCTTGGAGCAGATGGCCCTGGAGGTCCCTTGCTATCCCATGATGCTGTGTGTCTACATGACTAGAGCAGAACCTCAGCTTCCACTCTGGAACAAAAAGATAGTCTCTCTCTCTCGTGGCTGCAGAGACAGAGACAATCTCAAAGGTGTGACCTGAGTGTATGGGGGAAGCCTTCAAAGCCACAAAATAATTCAAAAGAACCCCCTATATATCCATATTTTCCAAATCTTGTGCTTTTAACACAGCCCCATGATCTGTATAGGGCTCTACTCCCAACCCGTGGGCCCCGCAGAGCTAGCAGGAGGGCTCGTACCTAGGTTCAGCTTGGTGCAGTTGCTTTTGGTGTCGCCGTTCACTGGGCACTTGTAGACGTCTCCAGTCTTCTGCTGCCCGTTGGTTTCGTAGGGAGCTCCCACCACCAGCCTGGACAAAAGAAGGGTCTGTCAATATGTAGGAGGCTCCTTGCAAATGCACATTTCATCACAAGCACGAGAACTGCTGCACCAAAGGCACTCTCAGGAATGGACTGAATTCTCCTTCCTGCAAGTGCCAGAAAAAAATAAAATACAGTGCTAACAAATGCATTTAGTTGGAAAAGAAGCACATGCAGCATTTCTCTTCGTAGGAGCTCCCCCTAAGCCTTGCATGACTAAAGCTGGGCTGAAAACACTTCAGTCACAATTGCTATGCAGAAGAATGCCTTGGCGGACACATCCGACATTCCCCAAAGACCCCCGGAGTATGCAGCAATACATCCTTTCCCTCTGAAAGGACGCCAGCATGTATATATACAATGAGGCTGCAATTTCAACATGCCTAAAAGGTTAAGGGATTTTCAGTGGGAAGTGGGTGCTGAGTCCTGTTGGCAGCTTTTGCAAACAGCCTCAGCTTCACAAACAGGGAGAGAGAGAGAACAAGAGAGCTGTAAATGAACCAGGCTTGGCTCCTTTCTCCCATCCTTTACTTGCTACAATAGGTGTCTTCACAAGTCTCTGCTTTTCCTGGTCAGATGGGAATTCTTGTGCAGTTCCTGAGATCCTACCACGGTTTGTTCTTCAAGGACCTAAATAAGTTGGAAACACCTGGTGGGGGTGGGGGGGAAAAAAAATCACCCGAAAGCACTTCCCACATGGTTGTGACACGTCCAAGGAAGTTACCTCAGCTTCTAATACTTCTGCAGAAAGCCGAGCATCCTCTGCACCCAGTCAAAAGCAAGACGCAAAACATCTATTTTACCTAACCTCTTCCCAGCTACAGGAAACAATGATACAGGGCTAACTTCTCTTCGCAATCAAGAGCTTTCCCGTGACTCAGGAGAAGATGCAGGAGTAAATCCAAGACAGGTCTGGGACTTAAATGAAATCATTGCCAAGGAGCTACAGGCCACTGGGTAGACCAGACACCACCCTTTTCTCATCCGCCGCACCCCCACTCCTTGCAGAGCGAGACGTGGGACAGGAGCGCTGCACTGGAAGATTGTTCTCCTCTCAGGGTGATCCTCTCTGAATGGGGTAGGCTGGCTTGGACAAGAAGTTTCACCAGCATGGGACAGCAGCAGCACATGAGAGCTGCTGGCCACGCACATCTAGACCACGGAGATTTCTTTTGCTGCTGTATGCAATGCAAGACCCACATGTTCTCTCCGATTTTGAATATGAAGCATTGCTTTCAGCTACTCTAATTAAGTAGAGACCTGGCTCTCTTTATTGCCCCTCCCAGGGTCCTGTTATATGTGGGAGCTCTGGCTAATAAAGCTCACAGCAATTGTATACTCACTGGTGTCTACATATGAAGCAGGTTGTGATGAGCATTGCCTGTTGGTGAACACACCATGTGCTGGGGTGGACTCAGGGGGAGGTCTCCTGAGGTGCTTGCTTTGCCCCAAATGGATCAAGAGCAGCTTTCTCACCCAAAGAAGGGTTAAGCCATATCCCATAGCTGTCCTTACCGCTCCAGTGCCATTGCCTGCAACCAGTGCTAAACCACCTGACTTGCAGTGGGGCCTTCACTGAAAATCCAACACCTGCCTCCCTGAAGTCCAGGGAAACATCCGTGAGACAGACACACGCGATCCTGCCAGAAGGCATCTGCCCATACAGCAGGAAGACCCATGACCTCTGGCATGTTCCCACCTAGCAGCCTGCTTGGAGAGTACCCATCCTAGCAAAGAACAGTGCAAATAAATTAAATAAAGTTAAAAAGCAAAATAAATAAAATAAAATAAAAATAATATAAATAAATAATAATACAAATAAAAATAAATAATATGAATAAAATAAATAAAATAATAATGCAAATAAAAGAAACACAACAAAATGAAATAAAAAATTCCCACGAAATAATAATGTTTTTCCTGGGAAAAAATGTTGCAAATGAATTGAAACACTTCCTTTGGCCTGTGACCATTTTTATCATCTCAAAGAAATTGACACAAAGTCATTTGAAACCAAAGATTCAAAAGTATTCAGAACCCTAGATGTCAAAACAGAATAGCTTGAGCTTATGAAAACACTTTTTTTTTTAAAAGCGAAATTCTGTCAAAGTCGACATTTCCTGTGGGAAGTTTTGGTTTTAAGGAAATGGCATTTTCTGATGGAAAAACATTTGGCTGGAAAATGCCTCACCAGTTCTACTTAATGCACATGATTTTTAAAGGGTCTCAGAGTGCTCACAGCCAAGAAGATCCCCAGGGAAGTTTTAAATATGCTCATGGCTACAAGGGCGAGACCTGGCCCCCATGTCCTTGTGGTCAGCAGTGCCAAAGGGTCATGAGATAAAGGTCTCCAGAGCTACAAAGGCTACAACCTGCCAGTGCTGAGACAATCTCCCTGTTCGTAGATTCATAGCAAATGAAGGTTGGAAGGACCTCAGGAGCTCACATCTAATCCAACCCCCTGCTCCAAGCAGGACCAGCCCCAACTACATCATCCCAGACAAGGCTTTGTCCACCCCGGTCTTAAAAACCTCCAAGGACGGAGACTCCACCACCGCTCTGGGTGACCTGGTCCAGTGTTTTACTACCCTCCTCATTAGAAAGTTTTTCCTAATCTCCAACCTCAACTTCCCTTGCTGCAGCCTGAGCCCATCGCTCCTTGTCCTGTCATCTGCCCCCACTGAGACCAGCCCAGCTCCATCCTCTTTGCAGCCCCCCTGCAGGGAGGTGAAGGCTGCTATTCAATCCCCTCAGTCTTACACAGTGTTACAAGTGTAACAATACCATGGGTCCTCAACGAGCCATGACAATATCAATCAGCTGCGGCTGCTGTTCTTCTTATTGTTCATTTATCTTAGTATCTCCTGGGGTGGGTTCTCTCCAAGGGCATATTTCAGACCACTAGATACAAAGAGTCTAAAAAGCCTGAACTGACTGCTCAGCAATGGTACGGGGCTCTGCCATGGGATAGTAAATCTCGGCTGAAGCGGGAGACATTTGGCATCCATCACCCCAGGAATGAGACAGCAAAGCAATTGCTCAGATGAAGAATAAATATCCTGCAGTCTATCTGGCCACTTTTGGGGTATGTTCCAAACCCCCCACAGCATCACAGTTTCTTGTGGGCATGACAAGCATGGTACAAACATGGCTAATGGAAGGACAACACCGAGAGGTGTGAAGACAGGCCATTTCTTCCACGTAGGCCGAGAAACACACCAGGCCACCGAGAACCGATGTGTTTCGACTCCAGCTCATGAGCCCAAAACAAATACGCAGTCTCAAGCACTGGCTCAGGAAATGCGGAGAGTTTTGGTTTAGGAAACGGAGCCGTGGTTTTACACACTGAAGTAAGCGCATGGCTACCTCCAAATCCAGAGCCACGACTGAATAGAAACGCTTTTGTTCTGCACAGTGCTACACGACAGCTGGAAAAACAACTAGCCTCAGCACAGCTGCTTTGTGTTACATCAGGAATGATTATCTTTTCTTTTCTCCCTAACAACATTCGTTCTAAGGAGACATGAAACATGGTTTCTTTACAGTGAACCAGGATTGCTCAGCAAATCGAACACCCCAAAAGTTTAATTAGCATTTTAGGGTTTCAACTGAAGCATTTCTGGTTTTGCAATTTCCCTAATAAGGAGGAGAGAAGCTGGGAAAAAACAGTCAGCCAGAACTAGTCTCAGTAACACAGACTAACCCAAACCAAACTATTCTGAAGTTCAGCAAAGTCTGGATAACACCTACCAGCACTAGGACTCTCTGAGTACCACCAAACCTCTAGTAGCTACAGCCATAACTGGAAAGGATGCAGAGAGGAGGTGAGGGGAGAGGGAAAGAGAGGTTGAGGGAATGACTGCGGAGATGAAAGACAAGAGAACATGAAGACAAATGCGTCTCAGACACCAGCAAAGCTGGGCAGGACAATAACTACTGAGAGAAATTATTTGGATCACTTTGAACTTTCATCATACCCCAAGAAATTTCCCACAAACAAAGGTTGACATTTTCAGGTTGATTTGGCTGGGCCCTGAGAAGAGCTAGAACTTTATAAAAAGTCCTCGGGGGTATTTTTGTCTCCATAGGCTTGAAATAGTCTTCCATTTCCACACCTACATGTGACAAGCTCTTGTTTTAATAGCCATTTCAGTGATGAGATGAGAATGACTGCCAGAGTCTTTGGTTGACACAACTTAATTCTGACTGGGCGCGTCTACACGTGTGCATCTACTGTGCAGTAACTGAAATTCCTGTGCAGTACAGGCACAAGTCTACACATGCATGCCTGTAGTGCACAGTAAATATGGTGACTTACGCTGACTTGAGTGTAAATTTGATATCTGCATCATACAGGTATCAAATTTACACCCAATTAGTTACTGCGCAGTAACACATGTGTGGATGCCTTACCGCACAGTAACACTGTGTGTGTAGGCTGACTTGGGATTAACTTTAGTCCCCAAATCAGTCCACACATGGTGTTAATGTGCTTTAGTGTCTGCACATGTGAAAGTCAGCCTATTCCCGTTTACTGCGCAGTAACTTACTATGCAGTAAATTTAAGCTGGCATAAATGCTAGCCCTGTGCGAATAGGGAACTATTTGATTTGGGGTCAGACTCAGCCGATTCGGATGCCAGAACTTCGATTCGGCCAAATCAGCTCCAAAGCTTTGGAGCCGATTTGGAGATTCGGCCATAGAATATAAATGAGGAACAAATGAAATATCTATACCTTTGTTGTTTGTTGTCTTATTTGGATGAAATGTTCAGGGGTAGTAGCCTCTGCTGATAGCATGAAGCCTGTCAAGTTTCAAGGAGATAGATGCAGAGGTTTGGGGGAAACTCCACCTCAAACTGCTGACAGGAAAAACTCATGACATAGATGACCCTGTGTGTGTGTTAAGGCACAGTGGGCTGAAAACTGCAGGGATTGTGGCCCCTGTGGAGGTCACAAATCCTGCCAAGGTTCAAGGAGATAGGTGCAGG